GCTATGTCTGCACTCGCCACCCAAATATAGTTTTAGCGACTGAGACCAGATGCCAACGTTTCAGGATTTGCCGTCATTTGATTCAAAATTTATACACGATTTTTGAACATTTCAATAAGAAAGTTCACCGACCAACGAGCCCTACTCATAGATAGAAATAAATGGTGTCTGCTGCCGAGAAGTATTTTTATTTTCTCACTGACAATGACACCGTTTTAAGGAATAATCTGGTTTGAGTTTGTATCTTTGACATTTATGAATAATGTGCTGGCGAGAGTTCAGTACTGAGATTCCTACACTAAACTTATTGTCCTATTCGTGCTCTAATTATTCTCTCGTAGGTATAATTGTGAAGAGTTAGACTGCTTATGAAAGCATAAACTGATTTCTAACGGTGCACTACCATCCCGAAATTCATTCCGTTCCTCCGTTTGTGTATTTTCCGTTACATTTACCGGGAAAATCGATGTTACACGACGACGTCACGCGATCCGTTTCTTACTAAACTTAGCGGGAAAATTTATTCTACGGTAACTTAGTACTCAGTTTTCCTTTTATATTCATCGTGAACATTTGTAGAAGCAAAGGTGCTTTACTGCCCGAAAGGATCATATAATTCCCTCTAAACAAAAATAAACGATTTCGTTTCAAAACCTGCATTTTATGCATTCTATGACTTTGGAGATAAGAGCGGATTTCAATGCTTACATTTACTGTTTAAAGCACTTTTTATGAAGTAATGTTTTCTAAATGTCCATGAGAAGCATCAATACCGATATGCAATAAAAGAAATTTCCCGCGTCTCAAAGCCAAAAACGAAGTATCGGATCTTGGTATGTGAACGCGAAAGGAGACAAGGGACACACAAAAACACGTCAGATTCGGACAGCGTTCAACTCGCAAATCGTTTATTCTTTCGTGCGGCGTGCATAGCCCGCGTGATCTTGACAGCGTCCTTGCCGGCTCAAGGTTTTTCTCATCCCGGTCGCCCCCCGCCGCCCCCCCTCCCCTCCGGACCGAGGCTCTCTATCCCATTCTCGAGAAACCCTTCACCGTTTCTGCTCCAATAAAGCGATTTTTTACCTCACATTGTTCTCGATTCTCTATATGAGGAAGGCCTCGCACACTTCCCGTCCCAACCAGTGAGGGTGCTTTTTGATAGCCGCCGCTTCGTTAAAGATGAGCTTGCACCCCTCGCAGCTATTCACATGCACTTCGGGTGTGGTTCTCCTGTTACTGAAAGCTAATATGTGTTATTTTAATCTTATATTAGACAACGCCCTGTCTGCCCAATGTAAGTCTTGCAGCAAGGCAGTGGAATCCTATATACTGCCTTCTTTTCGCAGTCGCCAAATTTTTCTTTGTGTTTCTTTTGGCATTTCTTTTCTAGGCTATCTTCTTCATTAAATTTTTGTATAATTTTTGAAAGTTTGTTCTTACACGTGAAGAGTGCGTTGTAATCATCCGAGAACAGTGTTTTGATGGGGTGAAAGAATGTGTGAGGGCACAGAAGGGTAAGAAATCTCCTTGGGTGTTTCTGTTTCCTTTTCACTTTTCTTGTTTGCTAATAGCCGAGAGGTCAGCAATTTTACTAGCTCTGTGGGGTACCCTGCGCTCCCTAGTCGCAGAGCTTGGTTCTTTAGGCTGTCCTCCCCATGATGAGGACATGACTTTATCAGTGATGATGACATGATTGACTTAATTATTTCTTGTTGAAATGTCTTTGACTGCGAGCTTTTAAACGGAAGTAAAGGTTTATTTGTTCTCTGCTCGTAGATCCAGCATGTCTTTGTTTTTTTTTTTGTTTTTTGTTTGCTTTTTAACTTTAGATCTAGGAACTGTAGTACTTCGTTTTCTGTGTCTTCAGTGAAGTGTAATCTCACCGACTGCATCTGAAAGTATGAAGTTGCGTTTTTTTTTTTCTGAATTTCATTTGTGTGCATTATGAGGTAATCATCTACGAAGCGAAAAATATGTGTCTCCTTGAAACGCACAAAAGGGCACGCATTTTTGGAGACCAGATCATTTGGGTTCTTTGAATCAGCATAGAAAATATTTATAAAGACGCAACTACCAACCCACACGAAAGCAGGTGATGTTGGGGAACCACAAGGGCCTGCAGGTTTTCTCAACTCCTCCAACCGGCATCTGCCACCCCAAACTGTAACAATCCTCAACGAAGGACCGAAGTTCAACCCAGGTACAGGACGGTTTCGTATCCACGTGGTGGCGACTATTCATCGAGCGTCAATCATGGTGCCAGGGACCGAGCAGGACCAATTCGTGACCTCAGCGGTGCGCTTAAGTCTTCAAGGAGAAATTTGTGATGAAAAAAGAAAAAAAAAAAGACAGAAGCAACCTTAACGCTATCCGTGAGCTAAAGCCCTTTCAGCTGCGCTTACTGAAATCAGACAAGGAAGGAGACTTTGTAGTGTTGAGCGATGGAATGCAAAATAAAGAATCCTTAAGAGTGGTCAAGAAAAGCTTTCCTGAAAAACGATCGAACCCTTCCTGAGAGCTTAAGGAGAAGGTGTGCGAAGTACTGGAAAAGAACGAATTGGATACTGTTTCTGCATCTTTCAGAAAGGAAAGGAATAACCGCCTTGAGGCGTTTTTCAAAATTAAAACTTATAAGCCAGAGAAGCCGTACAGGTAGATAGTACCCCAGGTAGGGACGTGGCAAAGATACTAGGCCCGTTCCGTCAAAAACAATTAAACACTCTGAACGTTTCTCATCCCCTCAAAATCTGATATTCCAAAGCAGTGGTTTTAAACCATGCATGTTTCGCAGACCCCTTGTGGATCGCCGGAAATGGTGCGGAACCCCGTTCGTGGTGAGGGGAAGGGAAAGGTATAAAGCAATTATTATAATGATTTAATAAATTTATATAGCTAAGGGCTTGACTTTTCGCATTGCCATACACACGACGAAATTCACTCTAAACTTGGAACATTTTGTTCCCATCTAGAAAAAATACAGCTTTTATTGCCGGGCTTGACTAATGACGGCTTTGCGGACCCCTAGAATGCCTTCGCGGAACCCAAAAAGTCCGCGGAAACCCATTTGAGAACCACTGCTCAAGAGATAGCCTGGAGACTTTGGACTTAGGTCTCCATAAACGGATGGGAGTGTTCTCACTCTACATAAGAAATTTATACGTCTCCCTTGAAACGAAATCTATGATTGAAAAAGTTGAATCTGCGGTCATTGAGCAAGCGTTTCTAAAATTTTAGTACGGCGCAGGGATAAGCCTTAGAGTTTTGCGACAGCTACTCAGGTTGTACCTTCCGTCACTACTCGTAGAGTTTCAAGACAATGTCTACAATCAAACAATGGTTGTGTGCGTTGGGCCCGCGGTGGCTCCTGTTCTGAGCGAACTTTATATGAGCGCCGTAGATGTGGCAGTCTTATCAGAGATGACTCGCTGGTTGACCTCGGGAGACCTATATATTTTTCGCTTTCTAGATGATTACCTCGTAATGCACACAAACGAAATTAAAAAAAAAGAAAAAAAAAAGATAAAAACGTAACATCATGTTTTCAGAGGCATTCGCCCTCGGCAAGAAGCAGCCGATCAGGCACCACACTCTTTCCACCAGCAGATTTCGCGCGATCTAGAAAGAGCACTCGAGAGCGCGCAGAAAGAACCATGCGAATTCGCCAATACATCGGGCAGAGAGGGCGGTGCCTAAACGATAGATTTAAATAACAACTATAAGCTTTCAGTAACAGGACACCTCCCCCTAAAAGTGCACGTGAATAGCTGAGAGGGACGCAACCCCATATTTGCGGCTATCAAAAAGCATCCTAACTGGTTAGGACGGGGAGTGGACGAGGCCTTCCTCATACAGAGAAGCGGCCACAGCAGCTGCCCCGGGGGGGGGGGGGGGGGGGGGGGGGGGCTTTTCTGCGTAATTTTTTTTATACCGGCAACTATCAGTAGTTTATTTTAGGGTGTACATTTTACAGCATATGTATATCGCCATGTGTCCGTCGCTCTGTGTCAATGTCAATCACTGTGCGAGCGTAGCCGCGTGTTCATCGCCGATACCACGGTGCACGCGCCGGTAAGCACATATCTGAAATCTTTAGTAGCGACTCCGTCGGAGTCGCTACTAAACGGACTTTTTGAGCAGCTCTGGATGGAGTAGGCGCCCTCTATAGGAACTTCCGGTTGTTTTGTTTCAATATATTTTTTTTTTCTGGTGGGATATCGTCGCAAGATGGCAGGCTGCTAAGGAAGCAGACAAAGCGGAGGTAAAAGTGATCGATGCCGCGTTACTTTCTCGCCAGAACTGGAGGTTGAAGCTAACGAAAGCACGCTAGGATCCCCTTACCAATGTATTTTGTCAATAAAGGCAACGTGGGCGTTATTTTGTTTACATGCCACTACTAGAAGCTCGTTACATGGCACGTGAACAGCGTCTCGGTATGCTCGGTAAGGATCATGGCCCGGGGGGGGGGGGGGGGGGCGCTTTGCTTTGGCTGGGTCTCACCAGGGGGGGGGGGGGGCACGAGCCCCGATGCCTCCCCGCAGTCTACGCCTATGGGCAACAGTGTGAGTCACAAATCCCTTAATCTGAGCAGAAAGGAGGAATGGTTTCTCGAGAAGAAGATAGGGAGCCTCGGTTGGGAGAGAGCGGAATGGGCATGACCTTGAGCCGGTAGGCGCGCTCTCGTGACCACGCGGGCTCTGCACGCCGCAAAAGATAATAAACCTGCTTCGCATTGAACACTCTCCATGTCTGACGTGTTTTTGTGTTTCCCCTGTCTCCTTTTGCGTTCGGATACCAAGATGTTTAACCAACACACTCTCCCAATTCTATCGAAGTATCGGATAAGGTTATCGAATCCCAAACGCAATCTACTCAAACGCACTAATCCTAATAACACACAGGTGCAATTTATATGCTTGGTATTTCGACGTCAAAAAATTTACTCTAGATTACGCTTCACGACACAAAACATGTGAATAAAAAACAGAGATATATAAACTTACAACTTGACACAATGCACATTAGTAGAAGAACGATGACCAGATTTCCCATGACTGTGACTGAAAAAAAAAATAATGTACACCGTTCTACCTTCTACGAACACTGCAAATAATCGCAATATTGGGATGTCTGCTTGGTAGAAGAGCGTGTTGGTTTAAGTCATGGATGAAAGATGTGGTTGTGTTGCCCCTGTTTTAATTGTTTTATTCTTTCCTCATCCATGACTTGGGATGTCTGAATTAAAAAAAAAAATGTCTGAATTAAAAAAAAAAAGTAAACAACATGTTATCGTATCGGTAAGTCACGTAGTGATTTTTTTTTTTTTTGATCACGAGATCACGAGTAATGTATTCACGGACTATTTGTGCTTAAAGCTGCATCTCCAGCAAATTTCACGATATCACAAACTGTGTATCTTGATCTTTTTCGCTGATAAATCACCAGCGCGTTAGAGCCAGGATGTCTTTAGAAACGGAGGTGTAATAGTTCCTTCAAAAACTACGCATAGCGCGAAAAAAGGTTGAAGCAGTAGTGGGTTGTAACAAATGCTCCATTAAATAATATTATTAGCGTTGAGTATAAGTGGGTAATTAACACATTTTAGTACTTCACATTTTTATTATTTACTTTATCTGTACGGTTTCATTATGAACAATAACGCGAAACATAAGGACACAGAGAAGACAACGCACAAGACAAGGCGCTGACTATCCACTTCATTACTGTTAGGAACTGTGACCAGACGACGATGGCGACGGTCATTCTTTTGGCGCCGAGAGCACGAGCAGCGCCGATCTGAATTCCAACATCATGCAATAAACACGTTCGTTCTTTTGGCTCCACAGTAGCAGTGTTACATATCGCCATAACGGCGATTCGGTTAGCAGTTTGCTCCATTTGCGACGACCACGGACGACCACGCAGGAAACGGTCTCCTGATCGGCGGGCCACCACCGGTAACCTGCTTAGGCATGGCTTATAGCGTTCCTCCCTTGGACGATGTCGCAGACAAGTGGGGATCGTATCTTATTAGAGTGGAAGCTTACTTCGAAAGAAATCGAATCACATCTGCAGCTCAGAGGCGAGATCTTCTAGTCTCGGCACAAGGAACCAAGGCTCTCAGCGTTTTATCCGCGACTTGCGTACCTGCAAAAGTGTCTGAGCTCACCTATGACGCGACTGTCAAGCACAAGGATAGTTACTTCACACCTAAGCCAAATGAGATAGAAGAGAGTTTTCATTTCTACAACCGTCGACACGGAGGTAATGAGACAGTTCACGATCTGTCCCTTCTCATGGTTCTGGAGGCGACGTGCTCCCTGTTGGATTTCGTTCACGGACATTGTCAAAATCGGAGAAAAACTTATCCCAACTAGAACGAGGGGCCTTGGCATTGGTGTTCACTGCTGCGAGGTTTATAGACGGTTTGTTGTGAAGGGATTTCACCCTGGTGACGGAACACAAGCCCTTGGTAGGACTTTTTCACCACGACAAAGGTCCCGCTGCCAGCATTCAACGGTGGTCCATCATCCTCGGTGTATACAGATACCGCATCGAGTATCGTACCGGGACAAGTAACGCCAATGCTGACGCCATGAGTAGACTTCCCCTGCATCTGGGTCCAAACGAACTGGAAGAGGAACTTCCAGACATAATTGCGTCTTCGGAAGAGTTTTACAGCGGTCTGGTGACAGCGAAGCAGATGGCACAGATGACTGCGGAAGAAACGGTGTTGCGTGATGTGATCAACTATACCCAGCGCAGATGGCCGCGGAAGCTGCCGGTAGAACAAGAAGGGCTTGGACCTTTCTGGAGCAGGAAAGACGAGCTTTCGGTGCAACTGAATGAGGACTGGACCGTTTGCCAAAACAGGTGCAGGACTTTCAAGCTTCTCTCGAAGGGGGAAGAGATGCTAGGAACTAGCTGTGACCAGACGAGAGCCCCGAGAGCGCGAGCAGCGCCGTTCCGAATTCCGTAATTATGGAATAAACACGTTCCTTGGCCTTGCTTTACAGTAGCAGTGTTACATATCACCACTTCGGAAATTCGGTTGGCACTTTGCTACACTTATTGTGCAGAAAATGCGGGCATAGGGTCTTCTTTTTTTTTTTTCACTGTGGTGTCGCTTCTTGTTTTTTTGAATGAGAAGTTATCCAAAGTCCAAAAAAACGCCATCTCAGTCTTCGACGTTCACAGATGGTGGGTTCACGCACGGCGTTTTCTTTCTTGCTTAATGGTAGGCCTCAAATATCATTCAAGACAACTGAGCTTGTTGTTTGTACAATATATTTGTGTCTTTGAACCGTAATTCACAGCCGCAGTCACGGCAATGCATTGCGAAATGGGAGAATGGTCCAGCTTTTAGCGAACTGTGATGTTTTTAATATCAGATGATTAAGCGTCTCCCCGTTTGTCTAATGTAGGAGTGTGCGCGAGAGAATTGGATTACGTAGACTCCCCTTTTTGGAAGGCACGAACTTCATGCCGTGCTTAATGTGGCATTCATTGTTGTCTGTTTGACTGCTTATGTTTGCGCGTGTTTTCCCTCGGCTACAATCCTGCTCAATTTGTTGCGGGCTGAGGACACGACGTTGACCCCATTTCTCGAGGCGACTCCCTTTATCCGATGAGAAAGGCGGTGAATATATAGTATAACTGTTGCATTCTTTTTGTCTTTCTTAGCCTTATATATTTGCTGTTTTGGGGGGACCCACTTTGATGTTACGGATTAGTTTCTTACATCCAGATGAGATGTATTCGTGTTGAAATACATACATTCGTATGATGAAATTAGCTCCCTGGTTTCAACAATTAAGTAATGTATACCCGGCAGAAACGTTCGTTTTAATCGCACATTCTATGTCCATTATACTGATTTCACGTCACCCTCAGGCCGACTGCAAAACTATTTCAATCATCTGGAATCAGATGACAATGCCAGTTTCAACCATAACTTACCTGAATTCAAGAAGTGCTTGATTTGTGTACTGACATAATTTTTATGCTTTGTAACTATTCCATTTTTTCTCGGTTTTTATAAAGTGTGTGAAATGATGAATCCTTTTAGTTTGTATTTTATGTCATCTAAGATGTTGCTAACAAGGGCACCAATATATAGGCTTCGGCCGTTATTGGGCTCTCATAATAAACAAACAAAAGTACAAATAACTATGTCGGGAAAGTTCGGGTCTCTGAGCCTCGCGATTTGTGCGGAGAAGCTTACTTTCATTTTGTGGATGCAGGATTTTGTGAAAGCTTACCTCGAACCACCAAGACATTAGATAAGGTATTCATTTTTCGAGGTTGGAGCATCCAGCATAAGTGTTTTATTTGACGTCTATTATAAAATAAAAAAAAATTATTTTCGTATTCCTTGGGGACTCAAAGTTGAAACGAAGGCCTAAACCTGCTTTAGTGAACGACCTTGGCATGTCTTTAGTTTTCCTGCTAAATTCTGCGTTCGCTATGAAGACCAAGTAGTTACCTACATACTTGAAATTTTTTTTTGTATTACTTAGCAATCTGTTCAAAGGCCCCGCCGACGTTTTCGAGAATATTACTGCGAACTATAGGTGCCACCCTTGAACCCATGCAAACGCCCGTCTTGTGTACATAAGCGTTGTCCTGCCAGCCGATAAATGTGGAGTTTAGATTAAATAACAAAAGTTCAAACACCTCTTCTGCTAGGATTGCGCTTCTTGTCTTGAACTTTTTTCATCATTTTGTTCTGAAATACATTATTTTACAGTCTTCATGAGTTTATCATTGGGCATAATATAACTCTTCAACACTAATACTGAACGCGCAGCATCCTACTGGGTTATTATCTTTTATGTAATCTTTTAGGTAATACATCAGTAATCTCAAGCGAATGGCCCTACTTTTGGAAAAGAAGGGCGCGATCACGCGAGGTCTTTGACGTCATTGTCCCTCGGGAGAATTTGAGAAGAAGGGGAAGCGGCCTCACTTCTCTCCTCCTCGCTTCGGTTACCCAGCTAAACGGGACGTACCGAGGAGGAGAAGGAATCGAAATCATGACGTGACCTGTCTCGTCGGCCTCGTCGGCCGTGTTCAATCCCACATTTCTTTTCCAAAAATACGGCGAACCGTTAGAGACATCTCTGTGTGAGTGATATCTCCAGCGGTTTATGCAGCTTTTCTTCTCGGTCTCTCTCCGTCATACAATTTTGACGGAAAATAAAATGCATTAATATTATTATGTTTTTGGATTTTGCAGCGACCCGCCTATTCTTCCAGCCTTGTTTTGTGAGCTCGAAATTTCGATTCAGCATCCCTTTAACGATTCATGAAACACGCATTCGTTGTTCGCGACACTCAATATAAAAAAGTGATGTGTGTATGTTTATAAAACAGGAAGTCAGTCTGCCTTACTAGGCGTCTAGCGCCTTAGCTGTAGATGAGCAATATATCGAGTGAGGTACAACCGCTAGCCTGGGGTCTTTAATGTGCACCAAGCAGTAGTGATACACGAACGCACGCCGGTACCATACTCATTCAGTAGGAAACGGGCAGGGTTAAGGATTGAACCAGGGTCCCGTGGTTCCGCAGCGCGATCTTTACGCTCCACGTGCTGCGAGCAGAAGCTGCGAGAATCCCGTTTGATACTAAAAGTTTAATGAGCGTGAATTACTGCCAAACTTGTACCAACTTGTGCCTTGTGTTATTTGTGATAACCCTGGGTCATATGGGCACCTATCCCAGCGCACTGCCAGATTGCCCGGCAGGGCTGTTTTACTGACCATGCATGTTATCTTGCTTGCTTGTTACCTTGTGATCAGCGGCCCGTGGAATGTTTTGGCGGAGTGCCGAAAATTGGTCGCGTCGATATGAAGCGGTATCAATGGCGTGAAACCGCGAAGTTATCCACTAACAGCTATAGCGTTTCAGGCGAAGCTTTTGGCGCGTTCTTAAGTCGTATTTCCCTTTACTCGTGTTCGCTTAAACGAACTAAGAACACAGCTTTTTGAGGAGAGATATCGCAGAATATAATGTCGCGGTTGGACACGGATCGACAAGCGTAAAACTAAAGG